TGCTAGCCAGTGAATTCCTGTTGTAGTCTGCATCTCAGGGTGGACGATGGCGAAGTTTACCTGTGGGTATAAAGAGAGAAAAGAGCATAAATGAATCTATGCCAACTTTGGCCAGCCTTGATTAACTTAAATTAACAAGATTTGGGGTCATAAATGTAAATATGCAAAGCATGTGAGTCGATTAATTTTACAGAATGCAATGAAGCAGACACATCTATAACACATTTTCTGGCAATAGCCTGTGTGCCAGACCCTAGCACTTAGAACAAGGAGCTTAACTCCTTGCTTGGAATAAAGAAAGTGCTTTTTTCTGAGACTCTCGATCGGGCCTCTATACTGCCCAACACGCCACAGTTTCGGAGCTGGCTTCCTTCTTCAGTTTATCTAGACGTATAAATTAGACCCCGCGCGGCTGCAAATTCTGTGTTCCAGGCGTGAGATTTCCCTGACTTTATTGACTATGGTGGCACAGGGGCATGGCACCCAGGCTACATTGTTTTCCCAGCAATGACATCATAGTAAACATGGTACCGTGTTTCAAAACACACAGCTTTTCATGAAAGAAGTACTATAGATATGCGAACATTGCCTAACCATCGTGATTATTATATGTACAATACTGCATGAAATAAGGATGGTCAGGCACTCACCTGGTATTTTGTTCCACTTCTTAATTGTATTCTTGAGTAACTGTTGTGTTTGTCGCCATGTAGAGCTGAAAGAAACAGCGTAGAACAGGTTATTAGCGAAGTTTGTTGCATTCCAGGGTTGTGTTATTCAGCACAGTTCGACAGCGTTCAGCGTGACCACGGATGTGAAACTTGGACAATATTATGGTGGGATGTCAGCAACATGTAATGCAAAGAATACGCGGATCAATATCAAGTTGTAATTGTGTGAATAGTAAAAAAAAATGACGTTGACCTAGAGATGAGTATACAACGTACTGAAACCTTCTCCGTGCACTGAGATGGTCTCCACTGTTGGGAACCCTGCGTCGTTGGCAGGTGCGGGCAGTTTAGCGCAGACAGGGCATATATGCCGGCACCGGTGGCCAGTGTAGAACAGTAGGGTATCCCTCGCTGCATGTCTGAGGTTTACTGGAAAGACAAGAAAATCCAACGCCCGGGGTTACTGGACAGAAGAGCCTTGACGGAGAGAATTGGGGTAAGGCCGGAAAACCCCGGCGGAACATGGCGTCAGGTGGCTCAAACTTTACATAAACCAAAAAACCAGCCGCTAAAAACGAGCAGCTATTAAAAAAAATTCACTAAAACCAAGGAGGTTAAATACCTCCTTGCTAAAACACTGATCGCCGATACCTGATAAAGACCAGTCGGATCTGTAATGATATACTGACCAAATTCTGTAAGCAAAATGGACGGAACAAACCACACATAGAACAAGATGAATGAAGTCAGGAAAACGGGTGTTAGAATCTTCACAGTACAAATTTCTAAAAATAAATTCATCAGGTATTATACTAACAGACGAATATAAACTCCAAGAATGCTAAATTACTTTAACATAGCCTGGCAGCCAGACCATCGCATGCTTCCGGTATCTCACGGTGGTGCTATCAGCACTGCCCGCCCGCCCAGAGGTATTTCATGCAGGGGTATTTTACCGGGTCAGTTTAATACAGGACGACAATGATTAGGCCAGCTGGAAAGATCTGGCATTTCAGCAGAGCCTGCAAAATATCCCTAAGCCACTAATCTGAACAGAAAGGTTTTGTCGGAAAGGGGAGAATATCAAGTAGGGCCGATAAACTTGATCCCGATGGAACTTGACGTCATGTGGCGGTAACCCATCCTCCCACGCCAGGGGTGCTCCCTTACCAGTAATCCCAAGGCGTATTTGCCGCGGGATAGCTCTGCCGTGGGAGAATGCGGTAACCATGTGGCACACATTTTCAATGCGTAAACTAAAATCCCAGCTTCTCTCCACGCGTGTTGTAACCAGCCAACAAGATAACAAGCAACTTTAAACTTTCTCTAACTCAGTGATCAACAATGATGTATCGATATAACAACACCCAAATTCTGACACCGGAACTTTGAAGACACAACCAAGTACTTTGCGAACATCACACAAATAAAACGTTCAAGTTACGCTGACTATGATCGATATTCTGCGCGG